CCTTCCCCTCCTTTCTTCCCTTCTTCCCTCCGGGGAGCGGTGGGAAGGAGGCGGGCAGCAACTACAGGTGCTGGGTTTCTCATCTAGGAAGTGCTTGATCAACTTCGGGAGATCAGAATACAGTCTGTGTTTGCAGGGTTCTGTTTTGGGGACCAGTGAGAACTCAAAGCCAGCCTGCGGCCTTCCTAGCGCCCCCCTTCCCTGGGCCTCCTCTCCCGCTGGGACCTTCTCCTGGGAGTAGCTATTACAGTTATTATCCTGCCCACTGACACGCTCCACCCCAAACACACACACGGCCACTCGACCTCATTACAGACTAACCGCTACTCTCTTCTCTTCTTCGGAAAGGGGGCGCTGACTTTTTTTTTTTTTTTTTTTGGAATGTGGGTCAACCCCTTACTGCGACGCACGTGGACCCCACTTCCAGCGGTCTGCAAGCATTCCTAAGGCGCCAAAGACGAACAGGGAGGGCGGGAGAGAGGGCTGGCCGCCCGTGAAAAGGCAAAATAAATGCGAAGGAAGCAAGAAATCGGACGAAAGGATCTTACTTTCCGAGATCTCCTTGAACGCGTCTTTTGAAACTCCTGGATAGCCTAGGGGCCGCGCGGCGCGGCGCGGCGGCTGCGGCTAAGACCTGTGACTAATGCGGTTTGACCTGAGCCCATGGGTTGTGCGCCCTGCCATTCATTGTAATGTCGTTATCTTCAAGTTTATGTCGGAGAAGTCACTCGCGCCCTCTATCCCAGCGCTGGGCTGTTTCTCTTTCAAGGGAAAAGAAGTCAGGGGAGGAAAAGAGAGAATCGCAGGCCCTATCCGGATCCTAGCCAGTGCCGTGAGCGCGTTTGCTGGGCCCGGGAGGCCGCAGCAGAGCGGGCGGGACTCCTGGGGGGCTCCCTGGACCCACAGGAAGGGCTCTCAGAACGGCTTCTGAGGGATTCTTTTCCCCAGGACAGGGGAGAGTGGGAGCGTCCCAACCCAATGCGCTGCGCTTTCGTTGCTCGCAAGACCCTCTCCAGAGTGGGCCGAGCCGGGAGCGCCCCTGGTGAGCGCTGGCCCAGGAGGGGGTGAAAGGCGCTGCAAAATAGAGAGCGGCTTGAGAGTCCCGGTCCTCTGGTCCTCCGAAAAGATGCAGTGACTAAGTTAGGGAAGGTTTGGGCCCTGAGGTTCTACTTTGCATAGCGGGCTGGAGCTTCCAACAGAGCGGATATTGCAAGTTTGGCAGGACACCCGGCAGCGGCTTCGGGGTGGGGGGTTGAGAGGGGGGAGCACCCGCCGCCTGGCTTCTGTGGCTTTAGGGGGAAAGAGAGAGCCGACCCGCTAGGCAAAGGAGGAGGGCGAGGCTTGGGCTGAAAGAGCTGTCCTCCCGCCCCAGTGTCCAGGCAAGCCGCTCTATTAAGACACCGCGAAGGGCTCACCTTTAGAATAGGCCACAAGGAGCTACCGGCCGCCCAGCCCTTTCTAGCATCTCCCCCCCACACCCTATTCCTTTCACACTCACCCCCCCCCTTTTTCCTTGAAAATCCTTCTATTGTGCCAATCAAGCAGATGGTTTGCAGGAAATATAGCTTGGCCTCGCTGACCGAAACTAATTTTAACTAGCTTTCCAAGCCTGAAACGTTTGTTTTGCTCTTACAAAATAGCCCCCAAAACAGCTGGCAAGGGTGAATTAAACCCATTAAAGACACATTTATAAGAAATTATATTCACATAGATTGCCTGAACCCCCTTGTGCAGCCTACGAGGGGAGATGAGCGCATTTAAATGAAAATGTCGCCGGCAGCTCCCCTCCTTAACGTAGCCTGAAAGTCTCAAAACATTTTACTAAATAGATTAACTTGACTATTGTCTTGCATCACATTTATCAGCTTCATTAAGTGAATAGCTGAACAAATATATTACGCATGCATGAAAAGCTCTTTTTCCAGGAGCCTCATTGTATCCTCAGCCCTGACAGGTGGTTAACTGTGTGTTGTGTTTTTTTGTGGGTGTTTTGTGTTTTCTTTTTTCTTTCTTTCTTTTTCTTTTTTTTTAACCCGAAGAAAGAGGATCTCTGTAGAGCAGGGTGGAGCGCAGTGCTGCCTTGGTCGTAGTTTAGCTAGCTGCTTGGACT